CGTTACATTACTAGATCAATTCTAGTGTCACGTTTCCCACTAATTCTTTTAACACTGGGTGGCAGAAACGCCTCAGGCATCTTGTCCATTGTGACGATATACTAAGAAAGGACGGCGTAAATAATATCCTTCAGTGAAAACATAGCATATAGATACGGACGTGGCGTAGAAGTGCGCGAGCTGAGAAATTAGTATTTATCTTTTTTGCTACTACCTCTTATGTCAAAAGCGTAACTTTTAAAGGCATAAGTTACTAAATATATTTTATGAATATTGATCGGTTATAATGTTTTTGAATTTAAGCGTTTTGGGCTGATTAGATACGGTGCTAACAATTGACACGAAATCAAATTGTAGTAAATATAACGTTACATATACATAACATTAAGTATATACATCGTGTTATGTTAATTAGAGAAACAAATGAAATATTTGAGGTTACTACTCGTGTCCAACTTATAAATGAAATATAAACGAAGTTATTCTATCCTTAAATGTATACTAACTATTCAATATCATATATAAAACTAAATAATATTAGTACTGATAAAGTATACCGCGCTTTGGTGCAATACTGTTGTTAAACGTGGTAGAGAGCAGCGAGTTTTTTTTTTTTATAAAAAATCTGCATACGTTTGGCACATTTTTTTTTTCTAAAACCGACATATATTCTACTGCATCTTTTCTGTTTTGGCAACATAGGGAGAAGGTATAAACATACCGTGACCGGTGCAAATTTGTTACGGTAAAATGACAAGAGATGAAGACACCACGAAAGAAAATAAAGACGCGAGTATAAGGAGGATAGTTGACAGCAATTGGTCTACGCAATCCAAGCTGGCATGCTTAGTGTACAAGCGAAAAGCTGCTAGAAAACCGATTACAAAATAACAATCACAAAACAATGTACTGAAGCTTCCCAGCATCCATCGCAATTTAGTAAATTGTACTTGCCAAAGACGGTAAATACACTTGGCTAAATTGAGCTTTAAAAATTTTCTTGATATCTTTACTTGCCAGGAAAACAAAACCGAGCGAATGTTTTTGTCGTTTAGACATTAAAGAGTAGAAAAATATTTCTACTACTAATATTTTATGTAGTAATAATTTAATGGCAAAAAGTTACGGGGCACTCCCATTTTCGCCAATACCAGAACGAAAAACGGAAAGTTTATGTAAACAACAACGTAAAATAGAATATCTTTGCTATAATGACATTTGAAATTTCACAGTACCACTGTAAACATGTTTTTCCACTTCTAAAGTCGACAAATACTTATTTACAGTGTACGATTACACGGGAAGCGTTTCTACTATTCATTGGGTTATATTAGTAGCAACATATAAATAATAAGATTTAGGAAAGAAGCACAATTATCTATAAAACACAAATATGTGTACACCACCAGCCAATTTCAATACAATTGGATCACAGCTCAGTAAGTTATAGTCGAGACGCCTTTGGAATGTATTAACTGACAAGCAAAGAGATTCCTCCCCGGTATGAGAAGGCAACTTAACTTAACTCGTAGGCTTAACAAACTACGTCACACTATAAAAAAACATCGACTACAATAATGGACATCCACGATAACCGAAAAAGTAATAGACGTATTTCTATTTTACTGTGCGCATTGACAATAACTTTAGGAGTGAGGAACACACGCCAAATTATTACAAATAGAGCATACTGAGACTTGCGCAGGAAAAAATTCTAGTGTGCAGTTTCGTCGGGTCGAGTCGAGTCGAGAAAATTCAATCGACCCCGTCATTTTACGATTCAATAATCAGCCAGTATCTTAAATTTCATCTTTATGATCTGTAACAGGTCTAATGTCAGATGTTGAGACAAATGCGCTCCTCTGGTCCGTAATGGGAGCATGTTCTAAGCGGTAATTTCACATATCTGTTAGAGCAACAATTTTTTTTTATTATTATTAAATGAATAATGTCAATAATAGTGTAATATGTGATATACGGCATCTTTATACCATAGTGTTAACGCAATGCACACTAAAACTTTGTTCACAGTTTGCTTACCTGTAATAATTTGACCTATATGGTTGTGAAAGAATTACGCATTTATACAGTGGAAGAATTTATACGGTGCTGTGAGTAGTTGGTTGTCCTAAGCTGCTTTTAAAACGTAAAATATTTAACCGAATAAGTTATAAAAGAGATCATTAATTAGTTTTATTTTAAGTGTATTTTTATGAGGCAACTTTAGATTTTAGTGACTGAAAGTCACCTTTTAGTTGGTTTATTTAGAAGTATTATAAAAATGCGCAATCCTCCACGACTTTTGTTAGGTGAAACACGAATCTAAGGTTCTATATTAATTATCTTTGATATATCGTTACTATAATCCCATATCTCTACACATATATATTAATAAATAGGTTAATAAAACCTCTTTGATAACCAAGGAACGTTGTACGACACATAGAACAGATGTGCATGTCACAAATATATTATGTAAATACTTACACACACACATTACTTGTATATTAGTAATATATTTAAATAATATTACACTATTAGTAATATAATGCCGATACAAATGTAATCTTATAGAATAACGATTTTAATGTAATATTTACAATATCTTCAGGTTCATTTAAATACACATAGGTCATTTAATAAGAGCAGCACTGAACGAAACTGTTCGGCAGACGTATTTCATCTGCACTTTTACTCAGTTCACGACTAGCACAAGCTCTTTAAACATAGTGTCCGAGCGCCATTCACCACCATTATAAACACCACAATTATAAAATAAACCGCATTCCAACAACCAGAGAACAATTTAATTGTTTTGTAGCAAATATATGTCAATTTTACTTGCACGATGTAGGTAAACTGGTGAGTTTAAAATAAAAAAATACATATATAAAACACATATGTAGTCCACTGCTCCGCAATTAGGCCCGCCTTATAAATGCCTTGGTAACCTCTGAACAATGGAGGCCTAGCAATGAACGGGTTATTACAATTGTTAACTTTGTTATAAAAATTAAATAAAAAAACAAACCGCAATATTGATGGCAGTGCAGATTGCCATAATAACACAAAAACATACATACAGACACAATCGTAAATGATGTGGGTTGTCAGTGACCCTTATCAAATGACCCTTTTAGTGACATATTTAGAATACATTTTTATCATATCATTTCACTTAATACGCTACGACATACACGACAAGATATTTACTTTCTATTTTATTTGCTTTGAACGATTACATAATTCGATACTTTCAACAAAAACATTCAGCGTCAAAATTTGTCTCCAAAATCTATTACGTAATCGGCCATAGCTACCATTAGATGTACAATTTACTCACTTTATTAAGCTTTTAAAATATCACAAAAGTGACTCGGGAAAAAGGTGTCAATCGACATCTTACTTAAAAGTGATTTCGTTTTTCGATACAAAAAAATTCATACACATGATTAAGACATATTTCAAAGGGAATCACATCTAGACATTTCGAAATCGTTGTATGACAGTAAATATTAACAAGGTAAGTTTTAATTAAATTTAGACAATGATATATTTAATATAGTTAGTACACGATTGAAATTAATAAATATTCGTTTATGTTACAATTGTTATTAAATCTTTGCGATCCGCACTTACTTTAATCATAAAAGTCTCGCAAGGGAATATTCCGATTGCTATATATATAGGCTATTGTTCCGATATTGCTTAAAATTTCTACAAATACGAAACTTACGAATGAGCACATTTAAGACAAATACACGTAGAATTAGAAAATCAAGGCGCTGAACTCTCTCTTAAAGACGTAACCTTAAAATTATAACACGCAATATTCGGATTACCTCAAACGATGCGACACATTAGTTCAATTAATTGTTCTGTTCACGTGATCACTACAGAATGTTTCAACTGCATTAAAAACATGAAAAGCCAAATTTGAAGATAAAATAACATAGTTAACTGGAACACGTCATTGAAATAAACGAAGATAACCTCAAACGAAAAAATAAAGTGAGGCGAAAGATGATCTTAACGATCTAAGATGTTCTTAATGTTCCAAAAGAAAGTGTTAATATTAATGACAATGTCAGTTTAACTTAAATTTCATTAAAATTTAATTAGAAAACGAAATATGAAGTGATGCTCTAAATTCGACGAGATTAACCCTAAAAGCTCACACTTTGTCAGACACATCAGAAAGGATCGCCTATAGAAATTACTTTTCAAGCTAAAAACTAGCACATCTGCTAGGTTTTACGTGGTTTAATTTAATCGCCATTTGTTTAATCTACATCTTGCCCGTCATTTAAATTGGTTCATATTAGAAGTTCCACTTCGATTCCATTCCGCGAACATGTTTAAATTAATAATTGGTGGGTTCATACAAAACAATCACGGAGCGCTTAGCACAATAATTACAAAACTATAAACAATGATTCTAGCGATGGACGGGACGATTAAATAAAGAACTGAAACTGGAATATTCATCGTTGCTACAGTGGTTAGTGTCTTCGTGAATAATGCTATAACACCGCAGTTTCGTGTAAATTTTGCTGTCGTTGTATTATGAACACTTCCTTTAGTTAAGTAATTAAACAATTTTTATTAATTAGGTGGTGGCACATACATTATTATTCGAAAGCGCTCTACAACTTATGATAAATTTACGTATCAAAACAATAATTAAATAAGACTAATTTTATATAGATGACATTAAAATTGAAGATTATTTAAAAAAAAGACTAAGTAGTTGAGCAGTTGACTAATTCTGCCCAATAATTTACTGAATTTGACAATAAATACTAGAGATTAAGAAACAACGTGGAATCCGATGAAATATCTCCAACATTCAAAGAATTAAGCCAAAGTATATCATTTTCGACTTTAAAGTACCAAAATCGGGCAATTTAATTTTGGTTCATAAAGTTAAAATACCCATACATCAAATAATCGCCGAAAGGTGCACGAGCAAAATTCTTCGTTCCCCTTAACGGGTATCAATTGTAAACCCCTCTAGAAATTGCCTCTCTATTTCTGTTGTGCCATTTACACGTTAATATTCTGACGTAGGTTCTCCTAAATGTAGCATTGCAAAGAGCGTAACAGACCGGGTTGATGGTCGAATTGATGTAGCACAACGCGTAGAAGAACGTCCAGAGTTCGTCCGGTATGTACTTTGTGTAAGCGGTCAACGGCTTCAGCAAGACGAGAATATTGTAAGGCGTCCAGGTTATAATGAATGACAGGAGGATGGCGGACAGCGTTTTGGCCGCCTTCGTCTCCTGCTTCTTCTCCTGGGTCTTCTTCTTCTTCGGCTGCTTCGACGCGATACCCTTGCCGGCGAGCTGTTTCGGTATTATCTTGGCGTTCAGCGGGATCCTGACGTCCTGTATGTGGGAGGTCCTCCGCGTCAATGCGGGGTGGCCGGCCGGGTGCAGGTTCAGTTCCGAGTCACCCCTCGCCGGTGGCCGGTAGTGCGTTCTGGCGTTAGACGGCGGCGAGTCCTCGGTGATCATCTTGATGCTCGGCCTCTCCGTATCGGCGTCTGGTAATCTGATCAGTATGGTGTAGACGGAATCGGCCGACGCCGACTTGGGCGCCGGTGGTGTGGTGTCAATCCTGGTGTTCGGTGGGAGGGAGCGACTGTCCCTCGCTGCCGGTATGGGTGCCGTTGGATTTTCGTAGTTCCTCCGCAGTGGGGAGGTGCCCCCGTCGCCGGCGGTCGTGCCACCCGACCCCGCTCTGGCTGCGTAAGGGTCCCTAATGACATTAAGCGACGTACACCTGCAAAAATATCTATCATTAACTACATGAATAAATAGCGGAACAGCAGTATATTTATATCGCCACCATTATTCATAAATTTCACCACAACTGTCGTTAATATTGTTGGTGTGTTTGATGCATTACTAGGGAGCGTAGTATATTGCACCGTTTAAGGATATTGTTAAGAACATAACAGTTTTATTTATAGAGGCTTACGTAATAATCGTAATTTACCAGTGGAATTGATAGACACAAGCGCTAAAAAAGTCACGAAGGTGTTTAAAATTGTTGATTTTGTTTATTACTTAAAATATTTGCAGTATTGAAGAGATGTATTATAGACTGTTGGTAATAACTTATCTATCTTTTGTAGACAAACATCGTATTGCGAGAAGCCTTGATTGAGACATTGGCCGACAGGACGTCCCGTAAACGTTACCTCACCTGGACACTGAGCTCTGCAGGGTCGTGTCCACGGACACGGGCGTCGCGTATCCCGGATCCGAAGGCTCCTCCTCGGGCTCCGTGTCCTCCAAATCCTCACGGCCGGAGTGCCACCAGGCGATGCACCACGCCTGTACCGCTTTCCAACCTCGCTTTGTGCGGCGCGAACTTAAGCCCTGGAGAGACGGTACATGTATCATGGATGAGCTATCGACTGTTCACCACCCAGTACCGATGCCCCGGAGAGACGGGAAATTTTGTATCATGGATGAGCTATTGATTATTCACTACCGAGTAACGATGTTGTGGATAGTAATAAACGCTAGTGAATCTCGGTAAAAACTGTGGCTTATTCTGAGACAGGAATAAATATAAATATACTATAAATATTTAGGACACATTTTTACACAAGGTTCTCCAGTCCCAAACTAAGCAGCGCTTGTATTATGGGTTATCGAATGGCAAAATATATAAAGGCGATTTTGTTTGATCCAAAATTAGTATCCATAGATTAAAACAATTTTTTTCCATATGGCAAGCCGATTCTGTCCAATATCAGTTATTTTTTTAATAAGTACATTCAAACGTAAACGGTTTACTACGTGTAAAACTTTAAATACTTAAGCTTAAATACACAATATCTTTAAGGGTCATCTTTCGTTATAAATTAAAAAGCCTTTTCATTAATTACATCCTAAATTTCTGAGATGTTTAATAATTAATTTATTATTATTTCTCCTACTCAAGAATCTCGCAAATTTGAAACGAAAATTCCGGAGATATTCAGAATTTGATTTCGCAGTTATTCCTTGGGTATTACATTTTTCGTTTTTATAATATCCATATTATAATATTATATCCATATTATAAACCCTATATAGATTTAATTTCAAACGTGATTTATTTTATTTCATTTTAATGAGAACTTTTTTGATAAAACAAACATAATTTTGACAGAATACAATAGGCTGGGGAAAACGTTTCTTCGCATTTTATATGAAAATTCGAAACATATTTTAATAAATTTTATTTACATTTCACTAAAGTATGTAGGTGCCATTTTGTTCGATGACTTTCTGCCATCTTGTGGGTAGGGACATGATCCCAGTGTTATGAATTTTGTTATTTCTGATCAAAAAACCGCGACTATTGGTTTTGGCAGTCCTCTCGTGATGTTAACCTGACACTGCCTAAAGAATTCTAAAGAGACCGAAACAAGTGGAAATCTGAAGGTGCAAGGTCAGGACTATACGGCAGATGCATTAACACCTCCCAGCCAATCTCTCTTAATAGTTGCTGAGTGGCTAAAGATGTGTGAGGTCTACGTTGTTATGATGAAAAACTACACCCCTTCTGTTGATTAATTCCGGCCGCTTCCTCTCAACTTCTTGCTTTAATCTCATCAGACATTCGCAGTAGAGTTCAGAATCCATGGTCCTACCTGGCGGTAACAGCTCATAATGAATAATGCCTTTCCAATCCCAACATACACATAGCATTACCTTGTTGCGAGATAACCCGGGTTTCGCCAGAGTCTGTGGAGCCTGACCAGTCTTTGACCAAGACCTTTTTACACGTTCTTGTCGAACCTGATCCACCTTTCATCACCAGTTATCATGTTCAAGAATGGTTCGGTCTCATTACGTCGTAATAAAGAATCACAAATGAGTATACGGTTAATTAGGTTTATTTCAGTGAGATCATGAGACACCCAAATATCGAGCTTTTTTATTTACCCAGCTTTTTCAAATGCACCAAAACTGTTTTGTGGTCAATTCCCAGTTCTTCAGCTACATCGTAACTACTGATATGCCGATCTTGCTCCACTTTTTCAAAAATGGCATCCATTTTATCCGTAACAGGGCGCCCAGAGCGAGGTGCATCTTTGACATCAAAATTTCCGGATTGAAAACGCTTAAACCAAATTTGTGCTACCCTCACAGACACTACACTCATAAATTCTTTTCGCGACTTGAGTTGCATTTTTACGTTTTTAGTAGTAAAATTTTAAAATGTATCGAATTTCTTGATTAGAATCACTCATTTTAAAACAAATGAAAATCACATATATTCCTAATTTGAATTTGGAATTATCTTCTTTAAAATTTAAACTTTTTAATAATACCGAAACCAGCCAGATACAAATGGTATAGCCATAGAGATTATATTATAAGTGCATACATACTGTTTGCGAAAAGAGTTTTTCTTATCAACTTTTTTTTATAAACTTAAAGATATATTTTATGAGGAAGTAGCAACGTATCTGCAACCCTACGGGTGTTACAAATGTCAATGGGCGGCGGTTATCACTTGACATCAGGTGAACCGCAAAAAATATAAATGTCAGGCATTTTGTGCCTGTTAAATGTCATAACAACAAAATATACCGTAGATAATCTGTATTACGCATCACTTATTTCTTAAAGTTATTAATCAAAACTATTTAATTAAATAAACAGTAAGAATTCGGAAACCGAAATATTTTCAAGGCATTATTTCATCATTCATAAGATGAATGATGAAATAAGAAATATAACATTATGAAGTTGAAACGGCTACCCGGCTGAAGGGAAGTTGTCATCTTAAGGGGGCACTATACTTTCTAAAAAAAATTCTGCGCATTCATTTCCTCGGCTAGCTTGGAATTTCTAAGGCAGTTCCAATCTCTTACAACAAACAAATTTAAGGCCTAAAGTATTCATGATGCCTTAAATCTTGATCATGTCTCGAGGAAAACGCAGCCTACAGAACAAATCCGCTTCCGTTTTAGCGTTCATACAAAATATGTGAGCTAAAGAAAGGTAATGTGTAGACATAGTGGCAAAATTGTTTTTTTTTAAGCAAGCTATTGTATTAGTGTGTGTTCGCGCCTGATGCAATTTATTAGCAATGCTTATCATAATGTTTTGTTGCATTTAACAATGTACTGCATCTCTTTCAATATACCTTCATCATCTATTGTTGGGTTGACGGTTGTTAAAATATTCAGTCGTAAAAAAGTTACAAATTAAAATTATTTCATGACATTAAAAGGCCTTTCATTGTGTCCAAGCGAGACATAAAGTGGCGGTCGTGACAGGAACAGTAAGAATTACAAAATAAAACAACGAATAAGAGATTTAATAACAATAACCCCATCGTCAACGTCAAACTTCGTGCGTTAAAAGACCCGGAAATAACAGAAACCGAAGAAAGGAAGATTGCCAAATCGTTGTAAATCGCACATAGAAAACTTATCTCCCGCTGTATGGTAATAAAGAGCAGTTTTGCATAAACACTGTAAACAATTTTGGCAAGCACAAACAAAGTACCTGATCCACTTACTTCCGTTCATAAAACTTATGAAGAAAACCTGTGTTTTGTTCACCGGATGCTTACGTAATGCCAACGATAACAATTAATTCTAAAATGATTTTAAAACAATTTAATATAAAATGAATATCAATCGAATATATTTCAAACACAAAAGCACATAATTATATACGATTTGGATAAAATGACATCCTCTACCTTTTTATTTTGAAGGAAGTGGCTGTACTCTAGAGGCTAGTGATTTTGTCTCGCAATTTGAAGTCACAGAATCAGATCACCATTGCACACAAAAACCATTCCATTATTCATTAAAATTTTTTTTTTGCATCTATTGTATTTTTTTGTCATTATGTGCCAAATAAATGTTTCTTTCTTTCAAATATTATTTTCTCAGAGATCGTCTATTAGTACTATGAAAGTTATAAATCGCGTCTGCTTTTTTATGTGAGAAGATGGCAAACGAGCTGGCGGTACCCCTAATGTTAAATGATAACAGCCGCGCATTGACATTTGCAACACCCTTTGGGTTGAAGATGCGATGCCGCCTATTAAAGTGGGCCCCGGCTACCTCACTCACCAGACGAAAAACGCACAAGAATAACACTTCCACTTCACGCCGATCTACTGTGAGGTCGTGGTACTTAGCCGGACGGAAAATGTTTATTATTAACATTTTGCTTTTTAAACTTTACTTTGCATTTCATCGGGATTTCATATCAGGAGTATACAAATTTAAAAGAGCCTAATTTGTTTACTTTTTGTTAATTATTATCCCAGCTAACTTGACTTTATTTTTATACGGAATTATCCGTAAAAAAAATAAAGTCTATAAATGTCATACTGCTAGGCAAAGGCCTCCTGTTTAGAGGGTGGTAGGGCGTAGTCCACCACGCAACCGCACTGCGGATTGGCCAACTTATCATATCTTGGAAATACATTTTTTATTGTTATTGTTTCGAAAATATGCAGGCTTCCTCACTATTTTCTTTCACCGGTGATCACGTGATGCTTCAGCACTTAAAATTAACAATTTCATTGCTCGTCAAGTTGCTCGAGTATGTTAAATTTAAAGCGAGCGCCCGGACAATGCGCTGTCACGGCTCTCGGTATAACGATTTTTATGCCGTTTTCATCTAAGAATGCAACAGACACAGTCCCTTTAAGTGCTACGTAACGCGGCCAAGGTCTCTAGCTCCGACATGTGTTGTTTCACAACGGCTCTAAAGACTTTCAGCCCGAGCTTACAACATTTCATCGAAATAAATAACAGAACTACAGCAATTTCTTGTAGATAGGACAAGAACTGAAGATATAACAGCAAAGTTTACTTTACAGTTTCGCATTATCTTATATGGAGGTAAGGTTAAGTATTAACAGATTACAGCCCTTCGCGTTATCTCGCATTTTTAATACTGTTTCAAAAGATAAATACCTATTTTTTAACTTTTTTTATTCAGCAGGTGGCAAGCGAACTGGCGGTTCACCTGATGTTAAGTGATAACCGCCGCCCATTGAAATTTACAGCAGATGCGTTGTCACTTTTTAAGAAAGTTGGCCCCGTGATACCTCACTCACCAGACGAAACGCAGAAGTGTAACACTTCTACTTCACGCCGGTCTTCTGTGAGGTCGTGGTTTTAACCCGGACGGACCTGCCCATTCGTGCAGAAGCAAACACTGTTGCGTGGTCCTGCCATTAGTGAGTGCTACTATATTTAGTGATACATCGGGTGGAGTATCGAACAAAAATCACACAATTCATTGGCACAGTGGTAATAAATTTCAACACTGTGTTACATAAAATATAAGAAACAATACACCGCCATCTATCGCCTTGAAATGATACTTATTATTTGATTATTGTACCCGTCCTTACTCCACACGCTATTAACATAACAACTTTAAGTACTGGAGCGCAGTTCTGTACGATTGAAGCGGATTGAATTTACGCGGTGCTTACTTCATTAACTTTAAGTGTGAGTAATCAAAGCTTAATTCCACCGTTCCAAAGTCTCGTGAAACACGGTAAAATTTTGCCCCCTTTGAAAGCGAAAGCACCTAAATTCGGGACTAATCGAATTATCGCGGGCGCAGAAAAGTTATCGTCGTAACTTCGCCTTTCGCGACGCCATTTTGCCTCGTAGAGTTCCCGCGTTTTTGCACATGGTAAATGTTCCGAACGCAGTATTTGATTGCGGATATTACATTTTCTAACATAAAGAGTTGCTTAAAGTTAGCCTCGAACATACGCACAAATTATGTATGTATGAAATCATCGTATAAAATCTATAAGGATAAGGTTCTCAAATGTATGGCTTTGGCGCTAGGGTCGTTCGTGGGTTCGATTCCTACACGGGACCAATGTGACCCACACATAATTATTCCGGATCTGTGTGTCAGGTCCCAGAAGTTTACGTTAGGTGGGAGACTAGCCAATATCATTGACAACATAATCCACATACTTTGCCCACTTTGGTGGTATAAGGGTATGAGAAAAAACAAGAAGATAAAATGGTACTCGTAAATTACGATCTGGTATTAAAGACTTTCTTCCGTTCATATTTAAATAATGCCACGCCTATACTGGTTGTTGTTTGGTGCTTGAAGTTGTTCTTTATCCAAAGAGTTTTTTATCCAATTATTTTCATTAACAATCTTTCTTAATGCTAGCCAGTTTTAGCACCCTGTTTAGCTGCCGTTATAACACCATATTTTTGCATTTCAACATTACCTCTTATTTTTTTTATATTTTTGAATTTAAACATTGCCTATATTCAGGGTCGGGACAATTCTATGTTATTCATGCGTTTTAAAAACAGACTACGGTAGGGCCCACAACAGCTTTCACTGTTGCACGAATGGGCAGGCCCGTTCGGGTAAATATCAGCGTCAGATACGTAAAGTAGCCGGGGCCGACTTTATTAAAAGCGGGCAACGCAACTGCAACCCCACTGGTGTTGCAAATGTCAATGGGCGGCGGTTACCACTTAACGTCAGGTGAACCGCCGTCTCGTTTTTCACCATCTGACATAAAAAAATATTAGTAAGTAAGTGATACTTACGTTTATTTTATATCCTAGCAGGTACTTGTTTCGCATACTAGGAATGTTTACGACTGAATAATAAAGACCAGCTCATCCTAGTTTATGGGAATGATTTAGTGTTATTTCATGTGGTAATAAAAAAATTACACGGTTCCTCGCTCAGAAGGTCATGTACGAGAATGCGTAATAAAGCAGACTATAACTCTTGCCCTCTGAAGTCGTATGCCTGTTTGTTGTGACGTTACATCCGGAAGTGTTCAACAACAGTGCTCGAGATTGTAGGAATGCGAATAAAAGGAATAAGAAATAGTAACGTAAACACATGGGCATCGTGAAAAGGGGTCAAATACAACCCCTGAGGTGACTTTGTAGCCTAGGGGTTTTTTTGCGCTTATAAGGCAGAATAAAAAGAGGTTGTTCTTTTTATTCTGCCTTATAAGCTTTTCCAGACGCTTATACGTTGAGTTCAATACTACAGAAACTAATTGCAGTTCGACAAACGCCAGTTCGAAAAGTTTGTAAGTATCAATAATACTGTCCCGGTTAAATGGAGTCCATGCCTACCTTCGCCGAGTCAAGTTTTTAAACTTAACTGGATCTGGACGGAGGATTTAAGTGCATCGTGTCGTGTCTAAAAATGGTTCAAACAATGAAGTGCTCTATATGTTTAAAGCATTTGATTGTTTGCTGCTTGATTACAATCTAGTCTCTCGCAAGCCGTAAATTAGTTATCATCGTCCTAATCCCCTGCCCTGATCCCTAGGTAAACCTGCATAAATACATACAGTGGTGACCACTAACGAGAGTGGAACGACTGAGAAAAGTTCAACTACCGGTATAATAAGATAGGTAGGGTCTTTTTTGTGAGTTACCTCACCATTTTCTCTTAAAAATTGGATTAATAGTTTAGGAACACTTAAAAGACCAGCATTAAAATGCTTGAAGTTATAGGTACTTATTTTGGTGACGCGCGTGTTTACAGCTCGCATCAATAAACACCTTACTAGCGCTGTTACAGAGCAAATAAAAGAATCAGAAAAAAATGTTGGAAATGCGAAAGCGTGAAATCCACGCTGACGAAATCGAGTTAGTGTGAGCGCGGGGAAGTCCTTGGAGTCACCCTGTCTCGAATAAAGGCCCATTTACACGATGCCATTTTCTTGTACTCGAATTAGGCGCCAATTCAGAGTTGCATTTTGCGTGGGGAGCTCCCGAAACCGGCGAGTAAGTGTACAAATTTCGAAATAGGAATATTAATGTAGCTATTTTTAAGGCAGCATTTCAAACGCTCGGGCTTGTTTTCGTCGTAACTACTCAAGTTTATGTATATAAGTGGTCTTAAGGAAACATAAAATAAGACGGAAGGAAACTGGAGTGTTTATATTTTTAACCGACTTCAAACAAGGAGTAGAGTTCCTGTTTCGGTTGTATTTCCGTGTAATGTTCTTTATGTTAGAACTCCGATATTTTTAATACGATTTTAAAAACTATTTTCACTGGACATTTGACATCTGAAGATAGATCTGAGAACTCGAAAAATGTTATTTTATATTTGTTAATAACTTTTGATGTTATTTTTTCCTTTTTTCCGAACGGAAATAATAATTTATCAATGAACAAAATGCCCACAGACTTAAAAAAGCTGATATTGACGCGGGAATTTTCGATTGAAAATTAGAGAGGCTTTTTTGATATTTCGTCAAAATAAGGTGAAAAAATAAATATTTCAAATCAAAAATAAGTGTATTTGGGACATAAATAGGAAAGATTTCATTAAATTTTGTGGAAAAAAAAATATTTTACATATATTCGTACCCGTGTGTTTGTCCACGTTAAATGTATGCCTGAAGTCAGCGCTTTCACTCCCAGCACCATTAAAGCTTCATCGAACACAGAACCCGTGAGCTAGCCATAGCCCCCGGGTTTGAAGCCCTCCACATTGGGCAGAACCGCGCATGAGCTCGTGCGGAGGAGCGTCGCCTACGAGCCATCGAGGTTCGGTACGGACCGTGACCCCGACGGCCGTTGACTGTACCTAATGTGGGGGAAATAAAAGCTATGTATGCCTGTAAAATGTCCTTACAACACAGGATAATGCTATCCTAAGTAAGGGCAATGATTTTTTTAAATATCAACTTTGACATTGCCCACCTGATGGTTTCGCAACCGCTGGTCGTGCAAAGCGCCTCTGACGTGATAAACCGAATCCGCGTCTCCGGATTCAGATCTTGCACGTCCGTCCACTTCTCGGGTCTCGTCACTGCAAGACAAACAAATTCATACAATTATTGCGTTATCGAATGTCACGACGATAAAGCCTCTCTGCTATCAATGAAAGCAAGCGTTGACGTGTCTGTGTATTTTGCTCTTTGTTAACTTTATAACTAGTCTTTATATACAGCGTGTCGTTACCATCGCGACAATAAATGAACACACATATAGGGGATAACTTTTTAAAGTTGTATTAAACATTTAAATTCTTTAAACATCAATATTTACAGAGTTATGAAATTTTGCAAAACAAAGAATTTTAGAACACCCTTACCTATAAAAGCATAACGTAAAGTTCATTTGTAAAGGTCACAAAGCATATGAATGGGTTGAATGAATTTAAAAGAGACAAAACATACTGTTAGAAGGAGAGGCTTGTAATGCGACGCTATGGCGCGAGTTGTATAGGATGTTACAAATTTTGTTTCTTTTTACTTAATTAGTTTGTTTGAACAATATTTTTTTTTAATTATGGATTTTGTTTAACGTTAATATTTTTTTATGACTATTATTGGCAAGTTAGACGTGTGTTCATTTATTGTCGCGATGGTAACGACACGCTGTATATAAAATTAATACAGAGCGAGATATTTGAAGTCGGTTTAGTTTTCCGTTAATAAAAAAAATTACTTGTTTTATAATTGATTTTCAGGAGTTCCCTAAATATCTCCAGAGCCCAAGATCCAATACTAATTAAACTAATATGGAACCACATGGTAAGCACCGTCTTTCAAATACAAAAAGAATCGTCAAAATCGCTTCACTCCGTCGAGAGTTCTGAGGTAACATACATGAAATAATATACAGTCGAATTGAGAACCTCCTAATTTTTTGAACTCCAATATTTTTATCAAAAGTACGATATTCACTCTCCCGCGGTTGAGTACTAAACAATAATTGATTCAATGGCTTGTTTGGTGTGAAAATTACTAACAATATAAATCTGGAGATCGTTTATTATCAGCCCCGTGGAAAATTTAACCCTGAAAGAGACTGACGAAACCTACAGGTTTGCAACTGCTGTAATGGGGCTGTGAAATGCGTTAAGTATTACCCTACTCGCGTTTTTTTATGAACCTTTCAATAAAGTGGGCCACGGTTCTGTGGGGTCGTGGTACTTCCTTGGATGCAACTGCCAATCCGTTGTAAAGTTAAGTAAAACGTTCTTTAATATTAAGCATATGTATTTTGTTGCAGGGATTGTGACTGCAGTAAGTATATACACTGTGTATATACCTCTATACGACGTTGATGAACTCACGACTGATATTGACTTTTTGTAAATTATAATAGTATGCATTTATTTCTATTTCATTCGGGTTTTATATGCTTCTTATTTTTTGATATGGTTTGATTTTTAATGAGCAAGAAAGCTAGTTTACAGTAGTAATTACGCATACTGTATTTCGCATTCACACTATTTTAATCCAGAAAAAAAATTAAGTTGTTAAGTTAAAATTCGAATTAAGCTAAAACACAAGGTAAGAAATCGTATGATCAGTCTATTTCCACAGCTTACTTGAACTTCTTCATCGTAATCTTTATAAGAGCAGCAAAGGTATTAAGATTAATTTATAAGACGAGCACAAAAGACATTCACCACTTCCCCGGCGAGTTTTCAAATTCATTAGCGAGCGCGAAACTTGCGTGGAGAGGAACGGGGCCGGTCGGAGCAATCGATACAAAGCTATGAATAGGCGACGGTTGTTAGCCGTATACCCCGTCTCCTAATTAAGGGAGGGGAAGGATCTGACGATCACAGACGCATCAAAGGAAGGCGGAAAGGAAAATCTTCCTGTGCAGATTAGTTACTCCCCTGTACCGTTGTTTCGCTTCCCTCCCTCAGAATTAGACTCGTGCCCGAAGTTGCTAATTAAATTAGACGTACGAGTATGAATGTCACTTTACAACCTACGACATTACTAACACAAACGTTCTGTAAATCAAAAGGGAAAACATTCATTTACTTTTTGTTAATTGACTCAGTTATCTATACCTTATAAATTAAAATATCTTTTTGAAGTTATACTTCTTTAGGCGCGTTATGAAAAGATGATGAGAGTGAAATTTTAAGACGCGCGCGCATCACTGTAACACAAAAGTCACACCTTTGAAGCTGCCCCGCTAAACCGCTTATTTTTTTATAGATGGCAGCATATTCTCAATCACATTCGCCCGTTACAGTTCTCAATAAAGAATGTAGATGGCGCTTTCATAATTTTATTATTTTTATGATTTTGACCCTTTACAGTCTTTTTATTGTTTTATTGTAATTAATTATTAGCATGCAATTAAAAACTATTTTTTAATGGTGCCAAAGAAGTGTAACTTCACGCGCGTACAAAAGTACACAAACCCATTTTTTTGTTATGTGCAAATTGTCAAACGTGTCGACGCTTCACCTGATGTTAAGAAAAGACCACCCCCCATGAAAATCTACAACAACTGAGGGCTTTGCAGATGCGTGGACAATTTATAAAAAACTGAGCGTCTATTACCTCACTCACCAGATAAAAAGAAAAAGTATAAAACATGTATTGCAAACAAACATAAAAAAACGTTTAACTTATGTGACATAGGCCAATCCACACAGAAGTCAATAAGTATTTTTTTCACCCCCATACTTCGAATTAGAGAATCTCGGTCAAGTCCCACAGAGTTTAATTAGTTTACCTCTCCAATAAAAACACCTAATCAAACTTAAGAGCCACTAATTAACTAAGCACCGTATTAGCCTTTTACGCTACGCGAAGCCGAAACGGCGTTAACCAAAAGTCGTTTAATAAAGAAAACGATGCCTTCTTCATTTATTCAAACTGTTAGGCACAAAACGGTATCGTTTTTTATTCATCTCCAATTAACAATGAAACGGGAACTCGAAGAAACAGATCTCAATTTTAATATACTGCAGAACGAGTACAAATATGTATATGAAATAGTGCATTTTGAGTATTGCATCTATTTAAAAAAAGTTATTTATTCATTTATTATTCTGAGAGCTGCTCTGGCAAATTGTCCACTGTTTAAAAGTAAAATGAAAAATCTCACAAATTATATCAACGCTCATACCCTATGTGTTTGAAGGTAAACCAACATTATAACGACATTGAAACAATGATGCCTTTCTCTTAAGAAATACCGATAACATCTTAGTACATTTTATTTTACACTAGCGATCCACCCTGGCTTCGCACGGGTGCAATGTTTATGCATATAAACTTTCCTCTTGAATGACTCTATCTAGTAAAACCGCATCAAGATCCGTTGCATAGTTTTAAAGATCTAAGCTTACATAGGGACAGACAGACAGTGGGATGACTTTGTTCTATACTATGTATCGAAGAGTACATTGACGGACATTGTAAATGTTAACAATGTCCGTCAATTTTCCGAATAGTGCGTGTAACATAATACAACACAAATAATGCCTGACGTGAGATAGTGCCCTTTCTGCATACAAACTTGATACAATGGCGCGCAACACAATGACGTGAGTCCATCTCTTTTGCGCGTTAGACGCGGGTATAAAGGCGTCTCTCTCGCTAACACGTCCTTCCGGAGACAGCTGATCCTATCGTTGATAGCTGTCAGCATTTCTAAACGCGTTGAATGGATGGCAGATGTCAATAGATATGGCTTATTGTGGAAATGCGAGGAGATATGAGGAGACATACCTACTCGTACTATTTACTAGGTCGTTTTTCAATAAGGTGACTGAACAAAGGAACCTAGTCTTCAAATAAGCGAGATGAAAAAATATTATTGAAATAAAAACAAAAAATCTTCATTATAAACGTAACGAATGAAATGAATACATATACAACCTTGTTGCAAAATAACTGAGATACGCATTTGATATAAGTAAATGAGCTTTTTAGGATTATATAATTACTTTAAAAACTTTTAAGTTAAACGGTTTTATTTTATGTTTTTTTTTTTTTTTGTTGTTAAATTTTTTTTATTAATATTATATTGTCGTCTAAATTAAATGTGTCTACCAAATTTCAGATCAATCTGACAACGGCAAGGTGCTTAAATTTCAATTTCTAATTTTTGACCCAAATAAATAAACAAACAAATACCGTACGGGTCGAGCTAAATAAAACCGTTTAAAAATCCATTAAACTCACATTTGATATAGTCAGTTCAAAAAAAAGTTATACAAAGAAACCAATTCTAGACCGTTGGAAATCTTTTTGCCTATTTAATACACCCGTCAGAAAAAGCGGGCTTGAGTAAACAACGGAATAAAACGGTTTATCTCCCTCAGCCGGCGCACTACTGAAAAGGCGTACAAGAGATTTTATTACGATAACTCCGAAACATTTAGGGGCGGGCGGAAATCTTAAATCAGTCCTAGAATCCAATTCCGCCGGTGAGAAAACCCCCCCACAAAATTACGTCTGTCCGCTTGGCTTTATACAATTTCATCGTTTTCACGCTTCCCCAAAAGCGATCTGATATTGAGCGTTACTCTATTTGCATTTCCCGAATCGAATGACGTTCTCTGTTTGTTGAGCAAATGATGTGAGTGTTTGCGAACGGGTCCAATATAATTTCTTTTGCAATGGTCTGATACGTTAATGTTTTCGTGAATTGAATCCATGGTAGCAGTAATCTCCCACGTCTTTTGTTGATAAAGAAAATAGTGACACATAACTCTCCATAATAGATTGAACTAAATTTAATTTTTTTATAGTGCTAATCTCTGCACTTAATAACGAACTTTAAAATTTGTAGAAAAAGTACGAAAAGATTGTCGCCGCTGTGGGAATCGAACCCACGTCTTCGTCGTTCGCGGCCTGACGCTTTAGCCACTAAGCTAAACGGCTGATTGCCACACCGGCGAAAATCATTACAAATAAAAAACAATGTAGATAGAAGACGTTAAGATTTTCGTAAGTTCGTTTAATAAGATTGACCCAAAACCTGATAGGCCCCGACAAAGCACTTATCGTAACGATTTTCGAACGAAAGAAATCAGAATAA